AGCAAAACAACATATGTATGATCGAGTATTTGATGGCAGTGCTACTCAGGAAGATGTGTTCGAGGATACACGAGTGAGTTTGAATTTTATTCATTTGTAAATATACTGCTTTAATTTTTAAGCTGGATGGAACCTTGTAAAGAGTTCAGGATTCTTCAACTAACTCTTATTTAATTTTTTCTTTGTTGGAAATTGTGATGCAGTATTTAGTTCAGTCTGCAGTAGATGGGTATAATGTTTGCATATTTGCGTATGGTCAAACTGGTTCCGGGAAGACATTTACCATTTATGGCTCTGAGGGCAATCCTGGACTGACACCACGGGCCACTTCAGAACTTTTTAAAATTTTAAAACGTGATAGCAATAAATTCTCATTTTCATTAAAGGTAATTTGGTTTTCACGTCAATTGTTGGGTACTGATAATGATGACAGCTTTTTCATATTCTATGTTGCGGGTCTAAATTTTCATTAGCTAGATTTTTGATACTCTATTCATCCAAGGCACATAAGAGATTTTAATAATCAACATGAGGTGCTTGCTGGCTTGTCTATGTTGACCAGTCTCTGTCTTTGCATGCACGTATTCCTGCATGCATTTGCATCATGGCATGTAATATGTTTCTATTATCTCTGTTAGGAATTGAAAATACATTTGAAACACACTCACAAAGCTTTGTGCATTTGCATCATTGCGCATAATATGTTTCTACTAGCTTTGTGGACATTTAAAATCAAGTGTGAAATGCACTCTTTTTTATCAAAAATTTGATCTTATTTGCAAAATGATGCAGGCATATATGGTGGAATTGTATCAAGATACACTCGTGGACCTTCTATTGCCAAAGAACATGAAGCGCTTAAAATTGGATATTAAGAAAGATTCAAAGGTGATTGCTATTTCAAAATGCGAGATCTAATATTTGTTAGTTTAGATCTTGTCTAGTTTGATTGATATCACTTTCGTTTCTTGGATCTCATGTATTATGTATTATATGATATTCAGGGTATGGTTTCTGTAGAAAATGTGACAGTGGTATCCATTGCTACATTTGAAGAATTACAAAGCATTATTCAGAGAGGATCTGATAAGCGGCATATATCTGGGACTCAAATGAATGAAGAAAGTTCGAGGTCTCATTTGATACTTTCAGTTGTTATTGAAAGTACCAACCTTCAAACTCAGTCTGTTGCAAGGGGAAAGGTATCTATCTAGTTATTCTTGAACAAATTATAAGCTGCTTCTATATACTGAATGATTGGTGTCAGAAGCATAATGTACCTGTGCATTGACTTGTTCTTCTTTCTTATGAGATGTGAAGACCCGTGCTTATAGCTGCATCTAGAAATGTGATAGTATGTAGTGCGAGTTGCACTTGTTGATGTCATCCTTGAGTCAAAGTTTATTTAGTTGGTTATTTGTGTGACCACATTTCAATATCATGTGCAGTTAAGTTTTGTGGACCTTGCTGGTTCAGAAAGGGTGAAGAAGTCGGGCTCTTCAGGTAGTCAACTTAAGGAAGCTCAAAGCATCAATAAATCACTTTCAGCCCTCGGGGATGTCATTAGTGCTTTATCTTCTGGTGGTCAACACATACCTTACAGGAACCACAAGTTAACCATGTTAATGAGTGATTCCCTTGGTGGTAATGCCAAGACGCTTATGTTCGTGAATGTATCTCCAGCGGAATCAAATTTAGACGAGTCATACAATTCTCTAATGTATGTTTCTGTCTTCCAAACATTCATAACATACCCATAATGTTTTTAATAGCTTGTTTTGTGATTCTTAATGTGAGATGTCTTATCCAAGATTAGTAGTGGCTAGTTTTAAGATGATAGAATTAAATTATGACTGCAATTTGTCTCATTAAATCTCTTCCAGTCTCTCATACATGTTTTTGCCTTTCTTGGTATCTCAACTTTTGCCATTTCAGGTATGCATCAAGGGTTCGATCAATTGTTAATGATCCAAGCAAAAATGTTTCGTCAAAAGAGGTTGCTCGGCTTAAAAAATTGGTTGCGTATTGGAAAGAGCAGGCAGGTAAGAAAGGGGATGGTGATGATCTTGAGGAGATTCAAGAACAAAGACTGGTGAGAGAGAAGACAGATGGTCGTCATTCAATGTAGAGTATTTTGTTACCGGGGTTGAAAATTCACCTCTGAGCTCCGTTGATTTTGTAGATTTTTTTTTCTTTGGCTTTTTGGTGATACTGGGATGACTGGAGATTAACTAACTAAATTATGGATGGGTTCTGATGATCTCTAACTAAATACCTTACCGAGGCTGAAGGGGTTGTAATTGGCCTAAAGGATTTGATTTGTATAGTCTTAATTGTTTGTATATAGTACTTGCACCTTTTTGTTGATAATACTTATCAATGAGTTGATCATATAACTAATTAATCCAAAATATCTTCTTCGGGCACGTGAGTGCTTAAAATCTTCTTGGATGTGGAACAGCCTTCCCATGTTACCTTCATTAATGTCTTCAAAAATTTAATCTGTCATTAACCTTTCATGTCTCTGCAACAGTTGGTTGCGTTGCTTTTTTTTTTTTTTGGATAAAACCTGTTTCTACAAGGAGACCATTCATTCATTGGGAGCATATTTTGAGCAATATTGATGAACTTAACGGAGACAGAGGTCATGGTCTTGTTATGGAACATGATAATGCTATCCTGCCTGCTTTGATGTACTTGCTCCACCTTTTAGTCAGTTCATCTTTATTGGGAAATCTGAATATATTGCATGACTTCGATGTTCCTCCAAAACTTAAAATGAGAAGCACACCTTTGTTACTGGTTTTTGTGAACTAGGAATTACATTATTTCCTTCTTGATCTATATTTAGAAAGATGAGATAAATTTCCAACTCATCTTTCCGAAATAGGGTTGTGGGTGACAACCGTATTATTTACTCTAGCTGATGCTGGCTGTTCTTGGAATCTCGTTAGGCAAGAATAAAGATGTCATTGTTTTGTTTTACATGAACATTTTGCCATGCCTTCCCATATTTGTCGGGCACAAAATAATATGAAGTCTGCCACATGATGTCTGCCTAAACAAAGCAAAGCTTTTATGTCTAAGCATATAAGCATCAATGCCGTGCAATAACACAACTTACTGAAACGATGACGAAGTCTCTATATATTTCGAGAAATGAAACACAATTTCACAGGTAAACATGGGTAAGAGTGGTGTCCCAATAATTGATCTGCATGAGTTTCCAGGACAGTATGAGAAACTGAGGAGAGCATGTGTGGAGTGGGGCTGTTTCAGGATTGTGAATCACAATATCTCTTTGGCCCTCATGGCAGATATGAAGAGGGTTGTGAGGTCATTGCTAGAACTGCCCTTTGATGTCAAAAAGCGCAACATAGATGTCATAGCTAGGAGTGGCTACATGGCACCAAGCAAAGTCAACCCTCTTTATGAGGCTTTAGGACTTTATGATATGAGGTCTTCTCAAGCCGTGGAAACTTTCTGCTTCCAATTGGATGCCTCTCCTTACCAAAGGTAAAACTCCTTTTCATTTCTATAGTATTTCGACTACTCTTCACTTCATTTTCATTGAAGTTTCTTAGAGTCTTCAGCTTTGAATAAACAAATTGACTGATGGAAGGTAAAATGGGAACTACCATCATTATTACTGGAGAAAGCATTCCGGGTACTTTTTCTTTGCATTTTTTTGGGGTTCAGATGATCTCTGACCCCGGGAAAAGAAAACCACTCTTATGGTAGAAGAATACGTGGAAAAATCCAAAGAATCAGTAGATCTTGAACTCATGCAAAACCCTTGTCATAAAGAGATGTGCTATATCAGTGTCTTAATTTGGGATTGTTGTTGCCAGAGAGGTTATCGAGATGTATGCTAAGGCAATTCATGGGGCAGCCATGGATATAGCACGAAAGTTGGCTGAAAGTATGGGGTTGAATGGTGACTTTTTCGAGTCATGGATTTCCCAGTTCAGGATCAACAAGTACAGCTTCACCCCCGAAACCATAGGCTCGTCTGGAGTCCAAATACATACAGATTCTGGGTTCCTGACTATCCTTCTAGATGATGAAAATGTTGGTGGACTTGAAGTGATGGACCCGTCTGGTGTGTTTGTTGCAGTTGATCCTTCACCAGGCACCCTCCTGGTCAATCTTGGAGACGTTGCTACGGTAATTACAGAGTTCCTGCATTTGGTTGCCTTATAATTAGTACTAGATTGACTTCTTAGTTTTAAGCTGCTAGAGATAACTTTGATGTTTGGTAAACTTCTTGTTGATGTGATAAAGGCATGGAGCAACGGAAGGCTTCGTAACGTGCAGCATCGAGTGCAATGCAAGGAAGCCACAATTCGGGTCTCAATCGCTTCATTCCTGGTCGGTCCCAAGGACGAAGTGGAAGCTCCGCCGGAGCTTGTGGACTCTGAACACCCACGTCTCTTTGTCCCTTTCACATATGAAGATTATAGAAAGCTCAGACTTACCACAAAATTGGAGGCTGGTGAAGCCCTTGAACTTAAACGCATCCTGTCCTAAAAAATAAAGGAGCAAGCAATCTGCAGGCTGGAGGACTGCTGAACTTGCGCACAACACAAAATAAATTGGGATGCCTATATCTCTAGTTTTACCTTTCTAGTATGGTAAAGAAGAATCTCTCAGATTCTGACATTACCTAAACAAATGCAATAAGATTATGATTTCTAATAAACTAACTAACAAAATTATGCTTCATTCTCCAAATATTGAAGGTGTTCATGTTCTTGGTCTTAAACAGAAAGTGGGGAACACTTTATCTCAAAAAAATTTAGAAACAGGAAGATTATAATGTTCTTATAAGCTCTTAACATGGACGACCAAGCTAATGAACTCAGCACTCCGGAAATTGTTGTCTAAATAGCATGTTCAGGGTTCCCTTTCTGTCTGAACTACCAAAGTTCTCAGGAAGAACAGGTTCGGCCATGTTAGGAAAAACCACAGTATATTTACAGCAGGTTTAGGGAGCTTACATTCTTGTGATTATAGATGAGTTCAGCACTTGCATGGTTTATGGTTTCACATAGTTGGCAGAAGGGCATTGAATCTGATTTGCTGATTCCCTTTATTCCATAACTGGGAAGGCAGTTGAGATGTCTGCATTAGGAAATTTATATAAATTTATAGGTGATGTCTGTTACTAGAAATTATACCGGTTTCAATTATAGTTATTAAACCGTCCATCTACCTGGTAGGTTGAGTCGCATTTGTTGGGATATGGTTTTAAGTTGAATAAAAAAAGATAGATCCGATAAAACCTAGCTGGCTGATGAAATTTTTAGCAACTCGTTTGAAATATCCGACCAATTCAACTCCAGAAAAATGGAATAAAATAACACTATTTTTAACTAAAATAATTGATTGCGTCAAACTGAAAACCCACATATATATATATATATATATATATATATATATTAAATAGATTCTCAAAAAAATCTTTAAATTATAATTTCAAGCTTTTTATAATATATAATATCATAGTTTTAAAACTTATACTAAATTAACAAGTTAATTTAAAACTCATTCAACTCGAACCAATCCAAGTTAAAAAGAAAATATTTAACTAAGATAATAAAAAACGTGCTGAATATAAGCTAATGTATAGTATAGTTATCATACATAAAATATTTTAAGAAATAATTTATGTGGATATAACTTATAAGCTTAAAAGAAAGTATATAAAACATGAAATATAATATAGTGGTTTTACATCAAAAAATTAATAAATAATTCATGTAGATATGAGTTATATATAATTATTTTATATCAAAAAATTAAGAAACAATTCACATAAATATAAATTGCTAAAAAAATTTAAAACTAAATTTTTATAAATTAATTTTATACTTTCTAGGTTTATTAAAAAAATAAAAATATTAAATACAAAACTTGAGACTTACCTAGGATATGTTGGATCACTTTAGTTTTAGGTTAACTTAGCAAGATATTCAGGTTTAACCTAGCCGATTATATCTTGAAGTTTTTATAATTGAAGACTTGGACAAGACTTAAATTACCTAGATCTCAAGCCAACCTATTAGGCCTAGCCGGGTTGGCAACTATGATTATAGGTGTTGTAAGGTGGGCCGAACATGTGAACGCAGCCGGAGCCCTAATGTATACTTCCAGTTCTCTGTGCTTTGTGTGTTGTGGCGTCGAACCGGGCTAAGGCCCAAGAAAAAGGGTTGGCAACTTAGATACCCTTCTTTTCTTGACCCATTGCTGCTTCCGATCAATTACCGGTTATTTCCAAAATCCTCCATTCTGCTGATTAACTTCGGAAAAAACAAGCGTCGAATACTTCCTGATTTTTTATGCCGATGTCTTGACGGTTAAATTCCAAACAAATTGACGATTAATTCCATGTTTTTGGCATTCCGACGAGTTTTCCCAATCGCCGATTAAAAAGGCCGCCGCGCCAGATTTATTTACAATTATTCTGCGAGTAAAACTCCGAGTTTTTGCAATTGCCGATGATTTTGCACCTCTAGCCGAATAATTAATGCATTCTAGCTGCCAACCTGCCGATTATTTTACAACAACCCAAAAAAACAACGAGGAATCACCGATCACCAACCACTGCAGCCATTTAATTCACGAAACGGTTATTTTTTATTTTTTTATTACTTTTTATTAATATAAATACTAAGAAAGCTCTAACTAACTTTATAGATCTTAAAATTAATAATTATATAAATTTTTAATAATTTTAAAATTTATAAAACTTAAATTAATAATTTTTAAAAAATAAATTTAAAATCTAACTAATTAAATTATATATCAATAATAATAGCAATTTTTGCCGGCACGTTTAAGCCATGTATCAGCAAAAAAATTCCACGATTTGTTGCTGTCCTTGTGGTGACCTGCTGCAAGTTAACAGCAAACCCAAGCCTTTTTTCAAATCAGTCCACAAGAAAGGTTCACCAACTTTGATTTCTGCACATAATTGATTTTCTTGGAGTAAACTTCAATCTTTTACCAAGTTTTCTTTTCCATGCCGTGATCTTTACTGATCAGAATTGGCTTCATATAACTTGACTGTTCAAATATTGACTTGTGGGATTCCATGACCTTGGATCTCACTTGATTACTTTAAACAAAGAAAGAGAAAGGATAAATCCAATATAGCCTGATCATCCACAACATTTTGGTGGAGATAAGAAAGAAAACCTGTGCAATTCTGTGGATTCAAAAAATATATTCACAATCAAGCATATAATTTTGTGTTTGTTTAGTGGTTTCATATATTTTTTTTTTACATATGAAAATTTCAAAATTATTAAAAATTACAAATAAAATATTAACTTGATGTTTTTTAAAGTAAAACACAGGAAGAATACTCTCCCCCCTCTCCAACAATGACCTTGAAAAGAAATATCAGATGCTTCCCTTTTGCTGCCCAGAAATGTGGGAGGAAAAGGCAATGATGATTTGAGAAACAACTTTGCTGCTGTTAGACAGGACTGACAGTCGAGCCGGTGTTTTCTCCTGTACCAAAACTTTCCCTGCTCATGTACTGAGGAGTCCAACCAGATGTAATGGGAATAGTATCGGCCGAACTAGCATCAACGTCGATGTTGCCAACGGCAGCAGGCCACACGAACGCTGGTTTAAAAGGGGGTACGTGCGGCGGCGGCACTAATCCTGATATTATCTGAAAGATGGCCAGCGTTTTAGGCCTTTCGCTGGCAATAGGATGGGAGCATGCTAGTCCAAGCAGCAGCAGCCTCTTTGCTTCCTCGTCAACATAGTCACTGTTCAGCCTTTCATCCACAGCCTCTAGTATACGCTCTTCACGATGTAGACTCCAAACCCAGTCCACCAAGAATTGGAACCCTCCAATCTTGGTCCATGGACGCTGACCGCACACTACCTCTAGAACTACAGCACCGAAACCATAGACATCAGACTCGCGGGTGGCCTTGCCAGTGTGAAAGCATTCTGGTGCAATGTAGCCCATGGTTCCAGGCACTCCTTCTAGCTCAGCATAGGACGTTTTCTCATTCTCCAAAGCGCGTGCCAGACCAAAATCACCTAACCGAGCATTGAACTCAGAATCCAGCATGATGTTACTGGCCTTGAGGTCACGATGCACCACTGTCTGATCATATTCATTGTGGAGGTAGTGCAGAGCTGATGCTACACCTGATATGATCTTGTACCTCAAGTTCCACTCTAGGATGACATTACCCTCAAGTTCATGGAATAGGTGATTGTCCAAACTCCCATTTGGCATGTAGTCATATACTAGAAGCAACATTCCACTCTTGTGGCACCAGCCTAGTTAATCAAAGTCGAGATTATTATCAGAAACCACTTTAAGACCCTCATTATGCTGAAATATGAACATGGATTGAGCACTAACACTGCTGCATTGAACATTTAGAGCAAAATTGGCTGTGCAGCCCATGAAATAGACGTTCTACCTTTTGTTTGGTCAAGTATGTACACTAAGTTGTACCATTTCAGATTTCCAGTTACATACCACTACATATTAGACTCTCCCACGGCATCTCACTTTCGAAAGCAAAATCTTCGGTTTCTTTTATTCCTCTTTTCCCAACAAAATGATATCAGATCATGTTCACATGAGCTTTTCTTTTCATGTTAGCAACATGATTGAATTAGATAGCTATCGACAGCCTTTTCTTTCTGAAGAGTGATCCACATGAAAAAAGAATGTGGAAAGAATATAAAAAGAGAAGATGGAAAAGAAAAGAAAAGAAACCAATGACTAAAGTCACAAATGATCAAAACAAAAGCAGAAAAGGTAATTACCAGGAGAAAGACCCGCTGCCAACAATCAATACATGGATTTCTACTGTTGATAACTTTTGTCATGTTTCCCTTGATTGAGCTTCATCAAAAGATTTATCAACAGCCCTATTGCTATAATGACGTTATGAAATTAACAATTGTATGCATATCCAACACGCAAAACGTTAAAAAAAACGCTGTTGGCATTTTGAACCCTTCCAAACTCTGCAACCAGGCACATGCCAAGTTGTGATATAACTTCCGGGACCATGCAAGTGCTAAGACTCCTTTGAACTTGCTACTGTAAAATATAACTTGTAATTACAAACCCTTGCTGTTATTCTCTTACCAAGCTATAGTTTCAAAGGAATTTAGTTTTTTTTTTTTTTTTACTTTCAAGAAGGAAGAAATATCAAGCAGGACACAGAAAATGACATGACAAGCATGGACTTTGTATGGATACCAGGCACAATGTTAAAGGAGAAACAGAGAGAATATAGCTAGAGAGAAGGAAACTTGCCAAGTAATCGGACAAGATGTTTATGGCGGAGACGGTTAATGATGGTAAGTTCAGACAGGAAATCATCCTGACCCTTGATGTTGTCTCTGGAGAATTTCTTTACTGCAATTTGAATGTTCTCTTTGGTCAGCAGACCTTTGTAGACCACACCAAAACCACCTTGACCAAGCTTATGCCTCTCGTCGAAATTATTGGTGGCCTTCTTCAGATCATTGAAAGGGAACTCCCTCGGCGTTCCAGGCAAACTCTTAAGGGCACCTAACAGATTAGGGTCCGATGCTGCCTTCTTCTTGTGAAGATAGTAGAGCCAAGTCCCTACCCCAATCAGCAGCAACGAAAATAGAGCAACCCCAATTCCTACACTGATCTTTATCAGCTTCTTATTATCAAAGCCACCATTCTCAACCGAGTCATCAGACAGCATCTCTACTGTCAGGTTCCAACTGAGGACACAGTTGAGCTGAAAATTTCTTCCCGTGGATGCAGCAAAACCAAAGTAAGACTTCTCTCGGACAAGGTCTTTTAGGTTGAGTTCTGCTGCCAGCGCCGGCGTGGCAGGCTTGGCCTTTCCTTCCTCTGCCATATACACTTCCATTTTCTTACTGTTCCCATCATAATGAACCCAAACCATGTGATTCCTGCCGCCAACAGGAGCAATTTCGATGCCTAAGTCGTCAAGGGAAACAGTCTTGAGAGAAATGACACTGTGGATGTTAAGGCCCATGTGGTTATCATCAGGATCAAATTCCTGCTTAACAGTATCAAGCTCAATGGCAACTATGCCATTCTCCGGATTGCTATCTGTAGTAGAGTTGGTCAGACCGAGATACTGCCCTTCGCTGTTCTCCGGGAGTGCAAGGTCCGGGGCTATGAGAAATGCTAACCCTTCTCCAGGTGTGGAGTTGTTAACGCGAAAGATGTTAATTACAAACGAACTATTGAAAGAAGCCACCCTTACGCCGCCAGCCCCATCATCCTCCCATAGGATGAAGGACTTATTGAGCAATACACGACCAGACCGGTTTGCTAGAGTGAAGTTTACATTGATAGAATCAGGAGTGATCTGAAGGGCGTCGTTGCTGATCGTGGCAGGTCTTTCTACTTGGAATATATCATAGTAAGTTTCGTTAAAAGGGCCGTATTCTCGGTGGAATGGTTGCAGGTTTTGAGCTTGAGATAGCGCTAGAATTAGGAAAGAAACGATGGTAACAACACTTGCTTGAAGATCCATGAAAATGGTTTGGCCGCAGCGGCTTTGCTAGCTTTGCAGATCAACCAAGCCAAGAACAAAATTTTGGAGGCCAACTGTATTGATTTTTAATCTTGAAAACAGGACGTCTCCTATCAGGTTCAATAATTTATCCATTATTTTATTTCCTCTTACTTTATTTATTGACCATGACTAAAACCCAATTGGTATAGCCCCACAGCCTTCCTCTCCATGGTTATCAGAAGCTACTATTTATGGATTTTTCATTTCTTAATTAGCAACAAAAACCTACCACCTCACCAGTTCACGCTCAGAGAATCCTCCTCGCCTTCTTACCCTAATCTCAAAAATGACATTTTCATTTGGTGCCAAAGCATTTTTGATTCTCCTTGTGACCTTTCTCTTCACAGATGATGAACCCATTTGCAAAGGGGACAAAGCCAAGGCATGGCACGAGGCTTGTTCACCACACGACAAATCAAACTCAACTCAATGCACAAATATATTTTATTTTATTTTCATGTATTTTAGTCTTACACTGAATTCCTTCTTGATCCGATTCTTAAAGCATTGTAGCTTCTGATTTAAATTAATTAACGAAGATAAAGAATTATGTTATTTAAAATGGAATTTTCTTTTTCTAGAAGTGCATTAATTGTATAATCATTATAATTTCAAGGGTATTAATTGTACATTTATTCCTTGGAATGTTTTTAATCAAGATCCAAATAGTCCATCTCAAACCCTAAGAACGAAGTTTGCAGATAATTTACACTAAAGTCAAGCTTGGAAAAAACTTGTGTTTAGAAGCTGACAGGTGATGGACACGTGAATGAACATCATTTGTATTTTTCATATAAAATGTTAAAAATGCTTTTCGTGTTTTATTTCCTGGGAATTCATAAAAAGAAGAACATGTGATTTAAAAAAAAAAAAGATATAGTAAAAAATTAAACCCCGGCAGCCGGCCGCCGGCCGCTATAGATAGCGTTGCCGTTCTGACTTCGATTTCTGATGCTCCATGCAGTTTTTCCTGCAACTAAGGAATACTGATGGTGATGGTTAGGATGGTTTTTTTAAAATATTTTTATATTAAAATAATGTTAGGAATACTGATGGTGATGGTTAGGATGGGTTTTTTCAAAATATTTTTATATTAAAATAATGTTTTAATTTTAAAATTATTTTTAATATTAGTATATTAAAATGATTTAAAATATAAAAAATTAAATTTTTTAAAAATATAATTTGCACGCATTTCTAAACTGCATCTATGTATTCTCTCATTATGTGTTTCTTTAAATGCGTTTTTAAGTAAAAAAAAATATTTGAGATAAATTGTAATTTATATGATTATAGATAATTAGAAAAAAGGCATCAAATTTAAAAAGCTCTGCAGAATGAGAGAAAATCAAAATATTGAAGATGAGGTGTAAACACTTGAAAATTCTTTCATGCGCAAGTTCAAGTCCGTCAAAGAAGGACATGTATAATAATAATAATAATAATAATAATAATAATAATAATAATAATTATTATTATTATTATAAAATCAAGTCAGAACTTTTGTACTCATGCAAAAATCTCACAATTCAAAGCAAAATTCACGATCAAGCCCAAGTTTTTTAACCATTAATCAAAATATAACAGTGAAATTATATTTTTATCCTTCATAAAAATCAAATAACCTGGTTTCAAGAGGATAAATGGATCTTTTTGGAGGATTTATTTGTCATTCTTTAATTATTAACAGCAACATTTGTTTTTGCAATTTTTAAAATAATTAAATTACTATATAGCTCTTACAAACAAAAAACAAATCATAGAAAATATAATAACTCAATTCTCCTTAATATAAAAAACAACCCTCACTTTAGGGGTTTATTGATAAATTCACTATATATTTTCTTTTAATACTGATTTGCCATTTTTTATTTTAATTAATATCAATAATAATTAAAAAAAAATATTTTGTAGCATGCATAACAGTTTACAAGTAAAAAATATTTTTTATTGGTGATTTTCAAATCTTTGTAGGTATTATGGTAGTTTTTGTGATTGTGGTTTGAAAAAGTTATTTTATAAAAAATATTTTTAGTTAAAGTTAATTTAGTATTTATATATGTTTTGTTAAAATTATGGTTGAAATTAAGGTTTAAAAAAAATATTTTAAAATAATTTATTGTGTTTAGTTAAGAATAATTTTTAAATTAAGGTTATAAAATAATTTTAAAAGATATATATTTATATTGATGGTTTTTAATTTAAATATTATAGATTTAACTACTATTATTATATCATAAAATAAATAATATTTTATATAAAATATTTTTTATTATTCCATTAAATCATTTACAACTCTACGATGTATAAAATATATCCGATAAAAACTACAGTTTTCTTAATTTTTTAAGCACGCAACAATATCAAGTTGAATATCATTAGGAATAAAATTGAAATTACGATCAAATTTTGCAAATATTACCTCATTAAGTGATCTTTATCTAATTTATATAATGTCATTAAATAATGTCAAATACTAATTTTTTTTAATAAAACAAAATTAAAAATAATTTTATATTTTACTAGGTCGGACTTGATTCAATGTATTTGGTTTTGAACCGAACCGAATCCGCCCATAATATTGAAAGAGGACTCCACTATTCCAGTGAACAGTTGAGTCACTCTCCACTTCATTTAAGTAAATAGTGGAGAGTGATGCACTCTTCTCTTGATAGCATTTGTTTAGGAGGTTGCATATGTGTTTTATTTAAAACACATATGCAACTTGTTTGGTAATGAAAAAACAAAACTTTATTGTTCATAGGTCTTATTGATTTTTATATTTGAAATGCAGGAGGATGGAAAACAACTTTTTATTGCTTCTTGCACAGTGTAGCCATGCTTTTTTTCTCTATATTGTTCATTAAAGTGAATAATATTTTTTTTTATAAAAAAAACCAATGCAGTGAATTGATTTCACCTGCATGGTTCACGTGAACATGAATAATATTTAAAAAAAATTAATTTAGAGTGAATTAAATTTACTCGCACTGTAATCTCAATTTTATTTCTGATAATAGTTTACTTAATTTTATTGCATGCTTAAAAAATTATAGAAACTGTAATTCTTATCAGATGAATTTTGTACGCAATGAAATTATAAATAGTTTAATAAAATAATAAAAAATATTTTATATAAAATATTATTTATTTCAGGATGATATAATAGTAGTAGTTAAATCTATAATATTTAAATTTAAAACCATTAATATATATATATATATATTACTTAAATATTCTGTAACCTTTATTTAAAAAGCATTTTTAATTAAATATATTAAATTATTTTTTGTTTAATTTCAAATTTAACTAAATAAATATAAATATTAAACCAATATCAATTAAAATTATTTTTTAAAATTATAACTATAAAAACTATCACAATATTATACTTTCCACACTGCACTGAAAGAAGAGTTAAAAGCAGCATTGCTGCTTTTAACAACCCTACATTTTAAACGCTATTAATAATGACGTCGTCCATATGCATAGTAATAAACATTTTACATATTACCAAACATCTAAGTTAATGTGATTCGCTGCAACAACACACACAACCACATAAACAAACAGATTATAATGCGGCGCGTGCGGTTTGTGTGTTTGTGGGCCCTGTGATAGCAATTGAAGGGGCAACTTCCGTCTGATAATTAGCGGTCTAGTATTAAATTAACCATGGTAGAGGAATTCCGGCTTCCATATATATATTTTTCTTATTTTAAATTAATATTTTTAAAATTATTTTAATTTACTAATGCTAACGATCATTTTTAAAAATAAAAAATATTATTTTAATATATTTTTAAATAAAAAATATTTTAAAAAATAATTATTACGGCAACTTAAACAAAAAAATATTTCAAATATATGTTTAAAAATTCATTCTTATTTTTTATTTAAATTAATTTATAAAATTAATTTATTTTAATTTCATCCCCCTCAAGTTTTTTACACGTGAGATGTTATTATGATTTCATTCTCCTTTATTATATTTATTTATTAGAATTTTTTTTTTACTCTAGCAAGTTTTTTAAATTTATATTATTTTATAATTTGATCATTCAATATTAAATTGAGCTTCATAATTTATTTCGGATTTAGGATTTAACAAGTTATAAATTTGAGAAATTAACTCTAATTTAAAAGATTCATCCAAGTTTATTTTTTTTAAAAAGAAAAATTCATATTTTTCAGTTTTATCCTTTAATCTTTGATTTAATTGGAAGCTAAGATCTATTATTTATTTTTATATTGAATTTTTCACTTATTTGAAATAGCCTAGATTTTCTTAGGTCTTTTTATTTATCGATTGTTGTTAGTTTTTTTTTTAATTTTTTAATTAAATTAAATGGATTGCTTAATATTTATTTTAAAAAATATATCATCTAATACATCACTATCTCCACTTTTTTTACCTTTTTTAAGGTAAAAAGAATTAATAATCACCAGCATAATACATGCCACAAATTCTTTTTTTTTTTAAATTCATTCTTCAACGTTTGGTTGAATTAGAGAATAAGTTTTATTATTACTACTTCTACTATTATGTATTTGTAATATTTTTAATTAAATGAGCTCAATTTATTGAGTCAAGTGAGATCAATGATTCAAATCTTAAATTTTTTTTCATTAAAAACATTTTTTAATAAATTTATTGTTTGAGAATTTTTTTAATGTTAGAAACAATTTGATCCGGCTAATGATAATGCACAAGCCACCAATTTAGATTTGTCTAGTCATTTTTTTAATTTTTAATTTTTTAATATTTTGTTTATTAAAATTTGATTTTTTAATTTGTTGTAGTTTTGATTTCATGATAATATTATGATTTTATGAGCTAGATTACAGGTTTTACATATTAAATATGGTTAAGTCGAATTAATTTAATATGTTAATGTATTAATATTTTTTTAAAATATATTATCTTCTCCTAATATATATTAAATCTTTTATTTCACAATGTTTTTATATTTTTTTAAGTTCATGAAAGACCAATTTAGATTTGTCTAGTCATTTTTTTTTATTTTTTAATATTTTGTTTTTTAAAATTTGATTTTTTAATTTATTATAGTTTTGATTTCATGATAATATCATGATTTTATGAGATAAATTACAAGTTTTACATATTAAATATGGTTAAGTCGAATTAATTTAATATGTTAATGTATTAATATTTTTTTTTAAATATATTATCTTCTCCTAATATATATTAAATCTTTTATTTCACAATGTTTTTATATTTTTTTAAGTTCATGAAAGAATCATCCAACCCGCCATGGCAGGCAAAAATCTAGTTTTATATCCAAAATTATTATCATAATTTTTTTCATCATTTCTAATATATTTTTAATACCCGAAATTTATGTATACACGAAGGGTGTGGTATTGTTTAACTTAAGTGATCTTTCAATAAAATCAAAGCATTGGCCCAGCGGTGGTAGGCATCTTGCGTCTTTCGCTGCCATGGATTCAAGCTTTGGAGTTGCATGCTTGTCAGCCCCGCGCTGCCTTACCTGGCTGCTGGGTTTGCAGGGTGTTCAGTAGGCCGTAAGGATTAGTCGTGGTGTGCGCCAACTACACGAAGGGTGTGGTATTGTTTAACTTCAGTGATCTTTCAATAAAATCAAAATAGGCCCGGACACCCCACATTAATAAAAAAAACATTTTAGATTCAATTCATAATAAAATAATACAAAACAGACTAAAAAAAGTAGAATTTTCTTTCCTTCACCGACCATCCGTCCGTGGATGAGTTATTCAATGGCAAAAAACAGGATGGATAGTAATTAACAGTCATCAGAGACGGATAGAGAAGAACAAGGCCCCCCCATGATTTCTTTCTTCACGAACGAACCAGCCTGCCTGGCTGGATCCATCCATCCGTCCACCACTTGGGCCCTTTTTGGTCAACCGAGTGCTAGGGGTGTCCGGGCCAGCTTACGCGCACCACTTGGGTCCTTTTTGATCAACCGAGTGCTGGAGGGATAAGGTTTTTCACCGTGATTTGATTGTTAATACAAGTAGTAGATGGAAAAGTAAAGAAAAGTCGGAGCCTGTCTCTCCCATTTGTTCTTCAATACGGACAAACCATATAAGAAGCAGGCCACCGTAGAGGTTGAACTAGTACTAGCCCCTTTAAATAAACCTTTACCTTCTTCTTTTTGCTTTTGCGTTGTCCGTCTTGTCATAAAAATATCAAACACACCAAACACCAGCTGAAACATCTTCTCTTGGCTTGAAAGGTAAAATATTTCTTTCTTCTTCTCGACTTGCAACCTTTTTTTAATTTTTTTCTTATTTGTGTATATGTTATTGATGAGTGTCACGGGGACCCAAGATGGGATACAACAATGAGGAAACCCTTTTTGTGAAATTCCTTTATGGGTTTGATTTCAATTGAAAGGAGCAATTTTGACTGCAAAGGAGGGATCTTTTTATTGTGGGTTATGGGTGTTCTTGTGTTTTTCTTCTTCTTCGTTTTTTTATGGGTGTTTGTTTTGATTTCATGTTGTATATTGTAAATTTTGATAATTTAAACTGTGGGTTTTGCGATTTACAATGGAAAGGTAATGGTTCTTGAAGCTTGTGAATTTTAGGTTGTGGTAATTGCTGTGAAGGGCAGTGATAATGGAAGTTAGACAGGAGTAGCCCCTCAGAAAGATTTAGGCTTTGATGTGTGTGTTGACACAATAGTACTATAAAAAATTGCAAATCTGAATGAGTTTTTCTTCCAAGAGTATGAGAGTTGGGTTTCAAGACGGAACAAGAGGTTTATGTTTTCGTGTGGGTACTAATATGGGAGTTTAGTGAATTAATCTTATCGATTTTCAGCTCGTAACAGGCGATATTTAATGTGAACTCTGGAAGGAAAGCAGTTAGAAAGCTAAGATAGGTTATTGAGTGGGTGAGTTCTTATTTGGGTAAATCGAGCTAGTTTTCATGAATTGAGCAAGGGACTAGTTCTTGAAAGAGACAAGGTCATCTGGGTTCATGAGGTTAGTTTTTAAGTAATGCTTTTTATATCAACCTCTATGTTTCCCCTGTATAATTATCACTTTCATAAGTAAATGAATTCAATACTGTTGATTTTATGAAAGCCCCTTTAAATGTTTATGGATGGTTCTTTTAGTGGCATAATCTACTATTTTGATACTTGTTTGATCTCTCCACGTATGGCCATGCAGTCTTGAAGCTTGCTTCGGCAGCATGCTATGTTCCTTTTTATTAAGTACGATAATTTATCTCTGAGATCTTGCAGAATTTGCTGATAAGGAAATGCAAAATCCAAGGATGGCGCCTTCATCTGAAATTCAAAATGCCAAGCCTCGTAAAAAGAAAGCTGGAGCCTCAAGAGCTTCCACGATTAAGTTGCAAGGGAATGGTGTCAGAGAAGTCAAACAACTGCGGGTACCACTGTCTTTAAGACCAGGGCAGAAAGCCTTCAAAAAGAGCTCAAAGAAAGAAGGCTCTCCATTGTTCCAACAACCAGAGAGGTCGAACTCTGATTCGCTGCCGGATTCCTCTGCTCCAGTAGATGAATACCGGCATCTAAGACACAGGTATTTGTTGTTGGAGGAAGATAGCTTTTCTGTGGGAGGAGCTTTGAGCAAGGTTGAGGACGAGGTCAAGACCCTTGAAGATGAGAAATTCGCGTTGCTAGACCAGCTTGTTGTTTTAGAAGGTTTGATTGATCCTTCAAAAGTGCAGCCCAACGGATTCTAGTTACCTTACTTCCTACATGCTGTACCCGTTTGTTTTAATGATATCACTGATAGGCGCACTTGTACATTATCATCAGTGCATGGTTTCAGAGTTAATTGCCAGGGTATGTTATTCTATCTGATTAATTTGCCAATGGCTGATGCTGAAAGACTACCATATAATTAGAACTGAATGTAGAAACAAGAATGAAATAGATGCTATTCTATACTGCTGTGATTTCTGAAGTCTTCTATGACTGAGTCAATACTTGGGATTTAATCTGTTTTTAAGGCATTATGTCTGTGATGTGGATTTTCCTATTTTCCTGATTTAATTTATTAAGCCTTCATTATTTATGGTGATTTCTCTTGAAGACCACGTAGTTTGGGAAAGAAGATTATGTTATTGCTGGCTAGTTCTAATGAGATAAGAGACATTTGTTTGTGGTCGACCACCAGAGCAATGCAGCATGATATCCAGGACCATGATTGAATTGCAAAACAGGAGTAAGAAGGTTGCCCTGAATTCACCTCCTTATAAAATATATTAAGTCTATTTTGTTATTGCGGTTCGATCATGTTTTTGAATTTTTTAGTTTTAAATTAGGTTTATTGTGTTCTTTTATTGACATATTGATATTAAAAGTAAATAAATATTGTTTAGATATATTAAGAAACATTTTATTACATTTCTGAAGAGTCCTAATCTCTGCATACGGTAAACTCTCTTGCAATTAACTATTAGCTTTTATAGTGAATTTTTCTCGTTTTATTTTTTTTTAATTTCATTTTTAAATTGCCAAACTGGAGATCAATTTAGGTTAATTTGGTTAGAAAATATGAGATTAAAAGACATGAGATCAAAGTGAAAAATATAGAGAGAATGAGTGGTTTTAGATAAGTTTGGGTGAAATATTCATTTTATTCCCACACTTTCTCAATTATAATTATTCAGTCCTTTCAATTTTTAAAAATTAAGAACAAAGTTAATTTTGATGCTAAATTTTATTTTTTTAATTTTTTTATCCATGATTTTTTTATCCATATTTAAAAGAGAAAAGAGGAAGTGGCTGGATTTTAGTGTTATAGAAAGAAAATCGTTGTTTACACCAATTAAGGACATAAAATGGTGATTTTGGTCTCAATAGATTCCTTTTGAAGAGTTTATTCTAGGTGTTTTTTTTCATGTGCGTTTGAGCTTGCAAACAATTTTGATTTTTGGTTGATTGTGGATTTTTAGGTTATTTTTCAGGTTATTCGAGCATATAAATATGTTTTATAAGGTGTTTGAGGTTTTTTTTTAACATTACAACCTAATTTTCAGGTGACCAGAGGCTACTAGAATCTGGATAGAATGGTGACACAATTGAAAAAAATTGTTTAGTCTAGTTTAATCTATAATTTAGATTATGAGTTTAATTAGTTAATTTTTGTTGATTAAAAATTAAATTTTATAATTTATTTCAGTTATATAAATAATTTTTAATTTATTTAATTAAATATATACATAAACCTTTTAATTTGTATTTGAGATTTTTATATGTTAAAATACACGTAAAAAATGCTATCATATTGAAAAAAAATTCAACTTGCGGTGAAGATAAATAGCTGGTTTCCTTCAAAGTGGTCAGGATTGAGATGATTCCCAGCAAAATCAGTGCTCAGATGGTCAGAATGGCATTGTAGCAAGAAGGGAACGGAAAAGCAGTGAACAGCCTTATCTTTCTGGAAAATCAAAAACCTGGAATGAATGCCAAGAGGCAGGACTTGCTAAGCAGCCAATGTAATGGGGATTGGACAGATTCGTCTATCACTCTGTTTTACTTCAGTTACTTTTCCTTTTAATTTTCACACAAAAAAGGTTCAATTCCAATGCCCCTGGAAGCCAAGCCAGCACGGTTCAAACTAGAAATTCTCAACTTTTATCAGTCATCAGGAATTACAAGATAACTATCACATGCCAATCTGATCAGGGTTCAATGCTATGTTGAAGTTTACATTGATAGGTCAAAGAAAATACACTAGAGAGACAAAAAAAAACAGTAAATAAATATATAAAAAGAGCCAAAATTTGACTTTGTGCTTGTATATTCCATTTTATGTGGCCTGCTTAACAATCTTATCAATCATTCAATTGCTGAATGATCCAAGTATGTTACAGTAAGGGCCTGTGGACTTATGACCTCAAATATATTTCTGCAACTGTATTTGTGGAGGGTTTGTCAGGATCTCCAGATTCCTAAGCTGGTATGTAGTTATGTACAAACTAAGCCAGGTTATCTCATCAAGCCCTTGGGGAAGGGTGCAGCCTGGACAACTAGGGGGCTGGTGACCCGTGCATCTCCGCTCGTCCATGTCAAAAAACCAAATGCATAGCCCTTTGATGGAGCAGCCACCTTGAAATTCACCGTGAATTTGATCTTCTGGCCATATCTGTTGAAGATTAGTTGCTTTGGCACAACAGTAACATTGATTCCCATAGGATTAGACACTGCAGCTTTATAAACACTTTTTGGTTTCCCAACATTTGTCACAGTTCGAGTAACTGAGAAGCTGTCTTTAACATTTGTCACAGTGATGGAAGGATAATTCAGGCTGGAAGCTGTTGTAAATGTCTGATCACATGTGCTGTTATCTCTTGTGACCAGACGTAGTGATTTCTCATCATAACCAATTGAACAGAGAAAGGCCTTATAATCTTTTGGATGGGCATCATAGATGAGGCCAGGATCAAGGACTCTTGTAGGGTCGACAAATCCTGATCCGTAATCAAATGAATTGGCCCTTCTTCCTTCAGGAGCCACTCTGATGGGTTCGGCGTTCTTATCCAGGATGGTAGCTGCATTTTCCGTTTGAAATCAGATTCTTGTTTAGAAAGTTCTCGACAAAAGACTATTTCTTCCACTTCATCAATCTCACCTAGAGACCTTGAACGGGAAACATCAAGTTGATTATCAGAATGTTGGTATGATAAACTCACCAGTCGTCATGATTGCAGACTTGATAGCAGATGGAGACCAAGATGGATGGACTGCTTTGACCAAGGTAGCAATTCCTGTTATGTGTGGGCATGACATGGAAGTACCAGAAAGAATATTAAACTGCATTCTCCCAGCTACTGGAGACCAGGCAGCAAGGATGTTCAGTCCAGGAGCTGCAACATCAGGCTACAAAGCGGTAGGATCACAAGGAAAGACGAAAAAACTTAGATTAATCATATATGAATCATGAAACAAGATGAAAGAAATGATTTAAAAATGCCAGTAGGTATTCTCAAGTTGAAATGTTACTTTCAAAATTTCAGGGGTCAGGGAATTGGGTCCTTTGGAAGAAAATGAGGCAATACGGGGTGCTGGTTGAGAACCCAAAACTGTGTTTGCACGGGAAATTTTTGACATTGGTTTGCTGTTCACAATCAGAGTGCCATGAATCAGAAAATTGGAGAAACTTGAAAGCTAAACACCCAGTCTCCATACTGATGAGGCAAAAAAACAAACCGTGTGTTATTTATATAGGATAGGATCTCCCTTCCTATATCTTTTCCCACAATAGCTGAAGGAATGACAAAAGGGATGGCAACATCTTTATCTGCCTCATCAATAAGAACCATTCCAACTCCTCCAGCTTCTTTCACCACCTTGCTCTTTGCGAGCTTAGACTCACTTGAACCCTCAGCAATTCGACAGACAAGAACTTTGCCTCTGGCTATGGTACTGTTTAAAGAACTCTCCAAACAATAACTACAGGAACAAGCGGGAGAAGGAAAAATAAGTTAGATCTCTCCCATGCATTGAAATATAAATTTCACTCACTTTCAAGTACCTGTTGCATCACCTGGATTGATAAGGTGTGAAATACCCTGCATTGGCTTCAGAGGCAGAGATGATCCTTGCAGAGGCATTCATTCCAAAGAGACTCAGACTTTCCCCCTAATTTTCAGGATTGAAAACTAGTAAGGCTCTGCCATTTACTGCAAACATTTTTCAATAAAAGTAAGAAATGATTTTACCGTGAATTTTGTGCCATTTCCCAAAACAATATCAGATGCAAAATCCCTATCCATTGAACTAGCACCAACCGTAATCATCCATGGGGCTAGGTTGGTTGCAGAACCACGGTTCCCTGCATTTCCACCTGAAGCAACTACTAATACTCCATGACTAGCAGCATGGAATGACCCAATGGAGATAGCATCCTTCAAATAATCTCCCTGGGGAGCATCAGGGCCCAAAGACACAGACAAGAGATGAACCCCATCTCTGATTGCATCATCAAAGGCAGCCAGCAAGTCGACATCATAGCAACCTGAGTCCCAACAAGTCTTGTATACTGCAATTCTAGCCATTGGGGCACCACCTCTGGCCCCTCCAGCTGCCAACCCCTTATAATTCACATCTGTAACATAACGACCAGCAGCTGTCGAGGCCGTGTGACTGCCATGACCAGAGCTGTCCCTTGGAGATCTGAATGATACTATCCTGGCAGAATCTTCTTCAGCTTCATAGCCACTCATATAGTATCTTGCTCCAATCACTTTCCTATCAATAAATTTAGATCCCCCACTAATAAATTAGTGTCCACGGAAGCAATCATTGAATAAATTATTTAGCATGAATGAACCTGTTGCAAGATGAGGCATTGAATGCTTCTCCCGGTTCGCACTCCCCCCTCCATCTGGCTGGCACCGGAGGCATATTAGCATCACTAAAACTTGGAGATTCAGGCCAAATTCCTGATCATAAGAATCAATCCAATTTTTTTTTAATAATTATATGCAACCAACTCAATGCCACACAAATGATCAAAGCATGAACAGTTACAGACGGTGCACTGATTTATAAATGTTATCTAAATCTAGAGTCAAACACAACGCTGAAATGGAGGAGTTCAAGAATTCCTTGAGCCATAAACAAGCAAAGATGGAATTTCAGAATGAATCTCTAATATCAAGGACATCATTCAGCAAAAAGAAGGTATGTCAAGAAAATGTGACTGTACCTGCAGCAGCATTTAATCAAAACACACGGGCTCATGGGTATTCTCAATCAAGAATTAGTACACAGGGAAACTAGTTTTAATTTTTAAAGGCAAACAGTTCATTCACCAGTATCGATAAAACCAATGATAACATTGACTTGGTTCTCGGTTGAATGCCCCGGTATTTCCATGGTCTCTTCACCCAGTAGCCCCATGAAATCCCATGAACGAGTGGTGTGCAACTTCCTTTTCAAATTGGGAAACACAGAGACTACTCCAGGCATCTCTGTCCAGAAAAACCAAAATATTATTGTAAATCTCATTTCATTCCAGAACAAAGCAATAAAATGCAGAAAAGTTACGAACTTACGAGCAATCTG